AATCGTGAGAGAATCGTGATCTCAATTCTAAGCCAAAAACAATCGTGATTCTCATTTTATGCAAAATCGTGCAGCCCTAGTTTCCAGCCATCCAACCTCTAATGGAGTCTATGCACTTATGCAAAATCTGTAGCTTGGAAACATCATGGGGCTTAAAGGAGATATATAACTGAATATCATCTGCATAGCAGTGATACAAAATGTCCTTAAAAGTGCTCAATAAGTGTTGAAGAGGAAGTAAATACAGTAAGAGCAATAAAGGCCCCAAAACTGAACCTTGTGGCACACCATAGGCAAGAAAAGTGTACTTAGAGGTAGCCACAGAAAAGGATCGTTCATGCAAATAGGATTCAAACCAGTCCAAAGCAGCCCGATATACCCACCCAGTGTCTCAGCCGATCTAGCAGAATATGATGGTCCACAGTATCAAAGGCGGAGGTCAGGTCCAACATCAACAGAACGGAGCATTCTCCTGCATCTCATCTCATCAAAATGTCGTTGGAGACTCTAAGAAGTGTAGTTTCAGTAGAGTGAGCTCTACAAAAGCCAGATTGGAATTTATCCAGAATGCTGTATTAATCTAGAACAGCTATAAGCTGCTTAGCCACAACCTTTTCTAAAATCTTAGAAATGAACGGTAATTTTGAAATCGGTCTGTAGCTACTAAGAAGAGAAGCATCAAGCTTAGGGTTTTTAACAGTGGGTGAATGACAGCATTCTTACAATAAACACTAAGTCTGAGAAATAGGACGCCCTCGCATCTCGAACTGAAGTGTTAAAAGAGACTAAAAGGTCCTTTAAATGAAGGAGATGGACATGCAAACGCGTTTTCCTCCTTAAACGCTCAACCTTACGGCAGCAACGCTTTAAGAAGTGAATGCTGTCATTTAACCAGGGAGACGACTTTGAAACCGGAGCTAGTCTAACTTTGACAGGACAAACATTGTCTAAAATACAAAGACAATGATTATTAAAAAGATTTGTTAAAAAATGAACATCGTTATAAGGAGATAAAACTAAATTAAAGGCATCGGAAAATTTAACAGCAGTAGAGGAAGTTAAGATGCGAGAGCTAACCACATGTCGAATAGGAGAGAGGGACAGATGAAAAGACAGGTTAAAAAGAAAACAACGATGGTCCGAAATAAAATGTCCTCAGTACAAATAAAATCAATGTTTAAACCTAAAGTAAAAACAAGGTCCAGTGTGTGTCCTTTGGTGTGTGTGGGACCAGACACATGCTGAGTAAAATGAAAAGAATCCATGACGCTGAGGAAACCTCTGGCAAAGAGGTCGGAGTCATCATCAACGCGTATATTAAAATCCCCGACTATAACCAGTCTGGACAGCTTCGAAGTCGAGGATAAAAAGTCACTGAACTCCTTTAAAAACATGTTGTTTAGGCCAGGTGGACGATGCACTACAGCGCAGTAGAACAGTCGCTCCTTATACTGTAGATTTTTCTATAAGAAGACAATCTGACTTAGTTGAAAGTCAGGTTAAGCAAGACCTACTTAGAGTTTACAGAAGTCTTCAGGAAGAGGTTCTTATCCATGTCTGTGTGTGATTTTTAAGACATGCAGATAACACAGTAACTATTATCTCAATGAGTATAAAATGGAATTACTACTGTTTAAACATCAAATTGGTTGCTGGGAAAGGATAAGACCTGTTACATCATGCTTTCATTTTACTGCGATGTTTTCAGTTCCTTTTAACCTGCAGTAGTTTTGAGGACTAATTATTTTGTGCGTCCTAATTTCCATCCATGGCAGCACTTTGTACACTAAAAATAAATAATAGGATGCAGTTTCATGCACCTCCTGCTATTGAATAATGTGCTGGGCTTGCTCTGTCAGGATGTCAGTGGGTGGGGGAGACATTGTGGAATAAAATGTACGTCAGCTTTTCTCCAACAGAAGATTGATGTGTTGCTCATGAACGTAGTCACTGCTGCAGTCCCAAAGTGGAGCCACAGGTCTTACAGAAGAAGGCTTAATGGCGTCTGAAATCCTTCAATTGTTTCCGCTTCCACTGACACCAATTGACATTGTCATAGCTGTGAGTGTTGCCACGGCCCACAATATCTTTTACTTTGTTCAAACACTTGCAAAGGCAGAGGGAGCAGTACAGAAACACTGTTTTAATGCTAGCATGGAGAAACTTGAACAAAGTTCATAAAAACAAAAAAGAAAACCAGAGTGAAAACAGCTCAAGGAAAGAGGGCAGCAGAGTTGTTCGATACTTCGCGACCCTTGAGCCCTCACTGCTGAACTGCACCTGCCTCCCTCCCACCCTGTTGACAGCATTTAGCACCATGACAAGTATCATTTTGAGCTAAAAAGCTTCTGCTGTGGACGTAACCTCACAGCTTAGACGGTTTGGGAGTGAGACCGGAACTCTTTCTCAAAATGCAAAGTGACAGTTGAACTGGAAACGAACCCATGCTAACACAATTATTAGCATATCAGTAGAATAGAGTAGTTAGGTTTGTGGTTGAAACCTCAAACTGTTCCTGTGTGAAGTTTGCCTGCTCTCCCTGATGACCTGACTGGAAAGCAGTAGGAAATCTCCCAGTTCAATTATAACTCGCTTCAGTGACAGTGAAAGTTATAGTTTAGAATAGTTTCACTCAAATCCTGATGAGGAAGATGGGGTCATTAATTGCACCATCGGTTAATGTTGTGGGATAGAATTAAAATTCACCCCTCAAACTGCTGAGCTGGTCTTATACTCTGACAGTGCTCTCGCTGTCAGCCAAGGGCTCAGTCACGCAGGCCTAGAGACTGGTTAACCACCACCTGGTAATCTGACTGCAAGTGAAAAAAATGCAAAAAAAATCCCTTACAGATTTCAGGATAATATTCTTCAACACAAAAACGCTGCAGAGAAGAACGGAACATGATCAAGAAATGCCAAAGCCAACCCAGGACTGTTCCAAATGGAAAGACATTCAATTTCATAGAAGCCATCTATGTCCACTGTGAATGACCATCTTTGAACAGAGGCGCTGGCTTACGACACCAACTGTGTCTCTATAATCCAGTTTCGAGATCATTTCCCAGACGCCTTTATGCCCACTCACACCCTGGGCCTTTTGACTTCAGGAAATCATATGATGGGGTGCGGCTAGGTTTCACAGTGAGCTCACCCGAAACCCTGGCTGACTGTGACCTACACCTCTTTTCACACCTTGACTTGTGCGATAAGGTAGAGGATCAACGGGGGGTTTATGACCCTCTTGGGGAGATACTCCACCATTTGACCCTAAAACTGAAAGCTTCTCAGATAAGAGGTGAAACGTCTTCAAGTAACTTCAAGAAGTTCAGATGCCTTTTTTTCCAAGCTCCTTAGACTACGATCACCTGCATGACTGAGAACCTTCACAGACTAAACAGTGAGACTTAAATCACATCTGATGTACATCAGACTAGAGTCTGTAAGGGCAAGATGGTCTAACATGGTGTCAAGACTGCATGCATACATCGTATATACACACGAGATTCCAGCGAGTTACTTTGCCCTATCTTGAGACAAGTGAGGGCAGTTTCACACTAATCAGACACACACATCTTGCCCAGCATTCCTACCTCTGCCGGGATGTTCCAGACAAGTCTCTGAGGTTGGGGTAGAGAAGGCTCCACATCACCTTTACAGTGGCCGTCCTCGGTGTAGCCTAGCTGGAAGGCATCTGTGGCCAGCGTGTACTGGAGGAAAAAATAATAGTGAAGGAAAAGATTATTGAGACTTAGTATGAGAGTTAGCACAGCCATACTTGCAAAAATGTACCCCATTATAAAAGGGGGAAAAAGTTTTTTTTTTTTAATGGACGACACAAAAACAGAAGAGAGATGATGAGTGCTTGAAAACTCAGCATAAGCATTTTTTTAAGTTGCTGCTAATGCACTTGATTAACTGATTATCTACAATTGTTAACATTAAATGTTACATTTCATGACAGCCCAATTGCAAAAAGACGTAACTAATGTGGCTTTTTTGGAAAAGTTGCCAGGAGGAAGTCTGTTCTCTCTAAAAAGCAGAGTTAGGTTTGCAACACTGAATCAAACAAACCACAAAATCTGTGACAAGCTGGACTTAAGCCAGAATCAACAGCGCAACATTTGGAAACCTTTTATGGACAGGAAACTACAGAAAGTCTAGAGTTTTTGGATTTTCAGACTAAACCAGATAACAATGATAAGACCCTTGTGCATAATTCAGGCTAGCTGGCAACATCAAAGCTTAACAAATGAACTCAAGGATCGAATATTTCTTTATCACTGGCCAAAAGAAGAAGCTACTTAAAGTAGAATATTTAAAATGAGCTCAGACAAACATGATGCATTCATGTGTATGTGATATACACATGAATGCACTCTATTCTTTTCAGCTGCCCGGATCATTGGCTGCAGCTAACCCTCTCTATTCCAGCACACCAACCGTCTGCACGTCCTCCATGAAGCTCCTCTGAGGTCCTCCTCTTCTCCTCCTGACTGGCAGCTCCATATTTAACATCCTATATTCAATGTTCCCTCTAATGTTTCATGTGTGTGAGCGAACACACAAACTCCCTGAGCGATCCCACTGTGAGCGACAGCAGACGTGTGCACTGTGGTCACGCCAGCATCGAATCCATCCAAGTAACATGTTTTATTAAAATAATCAAATTACAGCATTTACATTTATGTTAGACGACTTTTAATTAACTGCTTTAGCCCACTTACAAATCTTCTTCATGACCTGTGTAGCATGTTAACACTATTGGAAGTAAAAATTACTTGAACTCCAATTTTGAAAACATTACCTAAAAATGCAGCCAAGGCATTTTTAAATAAACATTTCAAACTATTTACAGAACAATCAGCTGTTCTGCATCAAATCTGATGCCACACAAATCATTTGTGCCGCTGCAAAAAATAATTCCTGTCCACTATGAGATGAAGGAGAACAACAGCCTGATACCTGCAGGCCTGACAGCAGCAGATGTGTCACTGCTGTAACACCTGTAACACTCAGCAGTCGCCTCATTGTTCTGACACACAACAACACTACTGACTACACTACACACTAACTACACACTAACTACACACTAACTACACACTAACTACACAAGATTTGTGCTAAACGTCACAAATCTGTTACATCTCAAAACACTGCCGTCACTCCTAAAACTTCCCCCTCCCTAAACAACATGTTGCCATATCATTTTTTGATTGGTTGACATGGTACATTTTTCCACCAATAGGAAAGGCTGTGGGTTTTTTGTTTTTGCTCACAGGCTTTCGAGCGTTTTCCTTATAAAACGCAGTTTTTACCGTTTCTTCCCGCAGTAAACATAAACAACGACAGTATTCAGGAAGAAAAACAAACATTGCAGATATTTTATCATAACTCTGGTTTTACGTGGCCGATCAACACAATTTAAAAACTGGTATAAAGTCCACACTTTCTCCGTCAGTTGTTCCGTCTGTCCTGCTCACGTCTCCAATGGTTGTCCACGTTGTCATTAACGTGGCTTCACTCCACATCAGCCGCTTTGCTAAAACACTGGTGTCGGCACATAAGGACGCTGTCATAGCCGGTCAACCACGTTGATTAGCTGCGTATATGCGAATGTGAATCACATCATTGGCTGCACTATGGGATAAGGTGGCATCGTTCTGATCCCATACAGGAGCAGCCACTCACTGACTAACACTGCAAAACAGGATTGTTAAAGTTTTAACTTTAATTTCAGTTCAGGTTAGATTTTTTTGTGCGCAACTCAGATTTTCTGTGCGCAGAGAGCGTGCCAGCAGTGCGCAATCAGAGGGTAGCTTAGAGGGAACATTGCTTATATCTGATATATCCACCATCTCTCCCCTGCACATGTCCAAAGCATCTCAGCCTTTCCTCCAAAATGCTCGACCCAAGCGGTTCCTCTGACGTACTCATTTCTAAATCTGTCCAATGAAAATTCCTCTTTTGGTACCCCATCATACGCTTTCTCAGTGCAGCTCCTTCTGACATTCTCCACCATCCACCATCAAACGTGCAGTTTAAGGTGCTCTTTCTCAGCGTGAAACCATACTGCTGCCTAAAGATAATCTCTGCTCTCCTCTCTTCTTAACCCAGGGTTAGAAATATTCATTCTTAAACATCATCATGTAACTGAAACACAGATTTCTGCAGTCTTAGTAGTTTTGCTTCTTATATCAAGTCAAATTAACAAATGCTGCTAATATTATCAGATAGCATGTTTTAGTCTTGCTTTTATCTCACTGTGGTAAAAATGGTGGGTGTTGAAGGCCATTAGTTCAAGTCTGATTGTGTCCCTGTAAGTGTCACTTCCTCTTTGCTGTGCTTTCTAAGATAATACTGTAACACAATCAGATTCTTTTAACACAGCCAGTTCCTGGAACTGGCTCCATCTGGAACTTTCAACTTGCAGCTGTGCTATCCCTGTGTGATAAAGGCATGTCAGCACAAATTCAGAAATAAGACCAAGGATCACCTCCCAAAGGTGCGCTACAGTTGGTGCATCAGCCCAGGAGTGCTCTGCATTCAGCCCACTCTTCCCATTCTTGTAGATCACAACGGAGAAGGATTTATCAAACCACCTGGGAGAGGAGAGAAGATAAAGCATAAAAGGAGATGTGTGTTGCCACAGCTTGTGTAAAGGACACCCAAGTCGAGTCGCAGATGCAGAAATAAGAATCCTGGCTTTAGACCAGACAAAACAGATTGGAACAGGGCAGGTCTATAACCAGTGTCACAACAATGATACCGATGCCATGCAGATATGCATCTTATTTTTCCTTGTATTCTTAAAACGCATTTAGTTTAGACAACTACCCTGTGAGACAAACTGCTCCACGCACCATCCCCCACACAGAAAGCTTTAAATCTGTCAATCCTTTCTGTCAAGGTTTCCTGCGTGGAGTCCAAATCAGCCTCAGGTGTCTGTTTGGTGTCTGTAGCTGAATTTCAATGAAGAAAGTAAAGGATTAAATAAAGGATTCATCACAATCCTTTATTTTTACATGTCTGATAGTGGTTTTTGTCACCATCACAAACCAAAGGAGAATCCTTGGCAGCCTGAGGCCTGTGAGAAGTGGAGTAATCACAGACATGTTGCTGCGGAGGAATGTTTCTGTGACCTCAGTCCTGAACTCCTAGTAATGCATATTTATTCTCCAGAGATGTAATTATTACTGTTAGCATCACAAGTTTTTTGCCAGGTGTGACTCACTGAGCAGCTGAAATCACTGTTTTGCAAGAAAGATGACTAGATACACATAGCAGCTGACAGCATCTGTCATAAGACAACAAAAGCTAAACATTAGAAACGGATTACTAGGGCTGGGCTATATCATACCGGTCACGGTAATACCGGTGTAATGTCGGGCAACGATAGGAAAATGAAATATGGCGATAGAATGTGGGTAAAACGCACAGTGCCTTTGTTTACATATACACATGGCGGCGACGCAGAACGAGAAGAGCGAAAGTGGATCATTGAATGAAACGGATGAACCAGAACTGGTTTGTAAAAATGCTGCAGCTTCA